CTTAGCCATGTCTTCCATTTCTGTATCTGTCTTAGGACACTGTTCTGAAGAAAGGTTAAAATAATTTGCCAAAGGAGTGCTCAAAGGCTTTGCATTGCTCATCTCAAACCTTTCCAGCACTTTCTCAACATAGCCTCGTTGAGATAGACATAATCGTCTTGAGCCTCTGTCTCGATGAATCTCCATTCCAAGAATCTTCTTCGTAGGACCCAAGTTTTTCATGTCAAATTCCTGGCTCAATAAAGCTTTCAAACCACGAACATCATTCATATTCTTTGCAGCAATCAGTATATCATCAACATATAGTAACAGAAAAATAATTGAACCATCATCAGGGCTTTTCACATAAACACAACAATCATACTCACATCGCCTGTAGCCAATCTGCATCATGTAGTAGTCAAACCACTTGTATCATTGTCTTGGAGACTGTTTCAACCCATACAGCGATTTCTTTAACCTGCAAACCAGATGCTCCTGTCCAGGTTGAGTGAACCCTTCTGGTTGCTCCATGTAAATCTGCTCCTCCAAATCACCATGCAAGAAAGCAGTTTTAACATCCATCTGCTCCAAATGCAAATCCCAAATAGCTACTAATGCAAGCACTGCCCTGATTGAAGTATGTCTGACCACAGGTTTCATCATAATCTATTCCCTTCTGCTGTGAAAATCCCTTCCCAACCAGTCAAGCCTTGAACTTTTCCCCTTTTTTTTCTGATACTACTGGTTTCCTTTTGTAGACCCATTTGCACCCAATAGCCTTCTTTCCCTCTGGAAGTTGAACTAGCTCCCAAGTGTGATTTTTCTGCAAAGACTCCATCTCCTCAACCATTGCACCCATCCATTTTTCTTTTTCTTGGCTAGTGATAGCTCCTTGAAAAGTTGAAAAGTGGTTGGATCATCGCTGCTGATGAGAAGTGCACATGAGACTAAGTCTTCATAACTCAATCTGCTAGGAGGTCTTACATTGGTGCGTCTCTGTCTATCTCTGACTAGATTGTAATTCTGCAGAACATCTGGAATAGAATCAGCAGATGTTGAATTTGAACTTTCACCTCTCTGAGAAGCTGTTGGCTGTTGTTCTAAATCCAGCTGCACTACATCTGAACTGGAACTCTTCTCTGGCACCTTATCTTGATTCTGTTGTAACATAAACTGCTCATCAAAAACTGCATCTCTGCTAATCACGATCTTCTTTGCAATCGGATCCCAAAACTTGTATCCTTTCACACCTTTCTTGTAGCCCAGAAAGATGCACTTCTTGGATTTTGCATCAAGTTTGGATCTTTCATCTCCAGGTACATGCACATAAGCAGGACAACCAAAAATCCGTAAATAATCAAATTTAACTGGATCACCCGTCCATACCTCTTCTGCGACCTTGCCACCCAATGATGCTCGAGGTGATCTATTGATGAGATAACATGTCATATTCACAGCCTCTGCCCAGAAACTCTTAAGAAGCTCTGCATTCAGTCTTAAGCACCTTGCCCTTTCAGTTAAAGACCTGTTCATCATTTCTGTCACACCATTCTGCTATGGTGTCTTCCGCACTGAAAAATGTCTCTGAATCCCATGCTCCTCACAGAACTTCTGAAACTGCGAATCTGTGTACTTTGTGTCATTATCAGACCTCAAATACTTGATCTTTCCCTCAGTTGACCTCAAATACTTGATCTTTCTGCCAGTTTGGTTCTCCACCTCAACTTACCACAGCTTGAATTTAGAGAAGACTTCAAATTTCTGCTTCAAAATATACACCCAAACTTTCCTGGAGAAATCATTAATAAAGTAACGAAATACTGAGATCCTGCCAATGACAACTCCCTAGTAGAGCCCCATACATCAGAATGCATATAGTCAAGAGAATGCACATAATCAAGATATAGTCAAGAATTCCTTCAGTTTTGTGTTTTCCAGTCATAAAACTGACTCTAGTCTGTTTTCCAAGAATACAGAACTTACAAAGATCAAGGTTGCAGCTTTTAACCCCATGCAACAGATTTTTTCTATTCAATTTTGTCATCCCACGTTCCCTGAGATGACCCAGACGCATATGTCATAGCTTTGTACTATCATTATCTGACTCCACAGAATGAACTCCACCTACAACTGTACTCCCTAACAGTCTGTAGATATTACCTGCAGTCAACTTTCCTTTCATCACCGTCAGTGCACCCTTAACAATTATGATGGTTTCCTTATTCTCATCAGCCTTATGAATAAAACCATTTCTGTGTAGAGTGCCCAAGGAAATCAAATTCTTCTTCAGATCTGGAATATGTCTGACATCACATAACGTTCTAACTGTGCCATCATACATCTGAATTCTGACTTTTCCAATACCAACTATATTGCAGCATCTATCATCACCCAAATAGACTGAGCCAGAATTAGTTGACCTGTATGAAGTAAACACTCCCTGTTAGGTGTTATGTGATAAGAGCACCCTGAATCAAGAATCCATGCATACGTGAACTGAGTTGATGAAACTGAGAGCATATCGCCATCACTGCAATCTGAATTTTCATTCTGCACCACATTTACAGACTTCGATGAAGTATCACCTTTCTCCTCATTCTGCTTCTTCGGCTTTGGACAATCTCTCTTCATATGACCTGACTCCTTGCACTTGTAGCAATGAATTTCCTTTTTGCCTCTAGACTTTGATCTAGAATTTCGCCTTCCAGATCCCTCCTTCTCTTTCCTCCTTCCACGATCCTGCTTATTCTTCACATATATACTGTCACCCTGAGAGTTTTCCCCTACATTCTACTTCCTCTGGTTGTGAGCCAACAACGCTGCAGTAATCTCATCCACTTTGATAGTTTCTTTCTCATATGTCAGAGTAGTCACCAGGTGTTCATAGAAAGAGGGAAACGAACATAACAAAATCATCGCTTCATCCTCAATACTCACATCAACTCGTGACAGGTCTGTGATTATTTGATTGAAGCCATTAACATGCTGTGCCAGATCAGAACCTTCCTGCATCTTCAGCCCATACAACTTTTGCTTCAGATACAACTTGTTCGTCAGAGATTTAGCCATAAATTGAGTTTCCAATTTCTTCCAAACTTCTCCTGGAGATTTCAGATTCATCACGTGATACATAACTTAATCTGTCAGACATAGGCGTATCGTCGCTGCCGCTCGCTGTTGCAATTCTTCCCAATCTTCATCCTCCATGGCATCTGGTTTCGTCGCCCGCAAAGCTTTCAAGATTCTCTGTTGCGTCAACAGATCTTTCATCCTGGTTTGCCACAATCCGAAGTTACCAGTTCCGTCGAACTTCACCACCTCGAATTTCGTACCAGAAAATGTCATCTGAAAATTATTTCTGCAACAAAACTTTTTACAAAAAATTCCTTTGCAAAAATTCTTGCTTAGAATCTCTCTTTTTTTTTTAAGAAAAGAAAGAGAAAAAAAAAATTTTGAAATCTTTGAGCAAAGCAAAAAATTTTCTCTCCGCCTCCAAGAGAAGAAATAAATATTTCTTTTATTTCCTCTCCGTTTTCAGCAAGGAAAACCTTAATTAAATTTGCTTAATTTAATTTAAATCAACTTAATTAAAAAAGATTCTTTTAATTAAGTGAATTTAAAAAAGAAAACTTTCCTTCACTAGCTTTCGTTTTGGAAATTCAAAAAATAAAGCAAACTTTCCTTTTCTTTTCCCTGCTCTCCTGTGGCAATGGATTCCTCTAAAAATATTCCTCTAGCTTCCCTTCCGGATTCCTTTCCGATTCCAGCTTCCTTCAATCTGCGGGAATATCGCCTCCTTCGGGAAAGCCTCCGTATTCCCTTCCGATTACGACCGAAAATTTCTCCGTTTTCCTTCTTTACTCCGTCCGCCGATCCGCCTTGCGGCCTTCGCGCAGACGTTCGCAAAAAACTCTCGAACCGTGCCGAATCGCGAAAAGAGTCCGCCGCCGAACCGCTTCCCTGGCCTCGAACTCCTCTGCGAAGTAAGACAGAGCCCTCGCGATGCAGATCCGGAGTGCCGGAAGCTCCCCTGGCTAGTTGCGAATGTCGCGAATCCGAAGCCTGGCTAAGCTTCGCCCGCTTTGCCTGGTCACGAACTGCCTAGAACCGAAGTCTCTGCCAAGTCCTCGAACTTTCTGCACCGACTCCTCCGAATTTGTCGGCTCTTCCTCCGTGGTCCCGAACTCTTCTGCCAGAACGACGAACCTCCTTCGTCACTGCGTTGATCTCCTCTGCCCTTAAACCTTGTCTCTGATACCACTTGTTCAGAAAAATAGGGCGAAGAAAATAGCAATCGACACAAATCCAGAAGAACACAGAGATTTAACGAGGTTCGGCAAAGATGCCTACGTCCTCGGGAGCAGAGCGGCAAGTTCCTTTCAATATCCTTTCAATAAAGGGTTTACAGAATTCAGGGATACCTCCTGGGGTTACTAACAGACCTATTTATAACCTCAGGAGTAAATCCTAGGCACAACATGTAATTACAACATTACCCCTGTACCATACCGCGGGGCTTTGCCCCCGCACCCCAACCCACGTAACTTCCCAATTTGGACAGATTCTTTCGCTCTGCTATATGAGCCATACCATAACAAATCATACACCGGTGTGGATAAGTTCTAGAGGAGAATAAGTATTATTGCTAGAAGATACAAAAGAAAGTCCATGTTGTTTAGTTCTAATACCTGAATTACAAAAAACTAAGTAGTAGGAAAACTAAGATGAGGTTGTTGTTTGGCAATGAGGCGAAGCACTTTGTAATAGGGTCACCAAGTTGGTGTTGCCAAACGTCAGCGATGGTGGTTTGGGATAACATGGCTTGCTTGCGGATAGGGTTGGGATGGAGTATGTCACGGCATGATCCTTGGAGGAGTATTCGTTGAGCTGTTACCCTTGATTTGCTAGCCGTAAGCATCAAATAAGATAGCGCAGTTATTGTGAGATGCAAGGTGAAAAATAGAAAGAAGACTGAGTAATTTGTGGGTTGTGAAAGAGTTTGGAGAGAAATAGCTTACTAGTAGTAGTAGGCAGCAGGCCCTGGCCAGTGTTTTGGATGAAAATTGTATTTCCATTGCCGATGTAGATCTGATATTGACCTTGGTAAGGTTCTTAATTCTGTGTAATGCCGATATCAGCGGTCACGTGTTGTGAGTCTCCGGTGTCAATGTATCAATCCTGGTCGGGAGTAGAAGAAGTGATGAGGGTTGTATGATCTGGAGCTTGTTGGGTTGTAGATGTGGTTCAACCTATGCCAACATTGGGGTGCCGCATGGCCTGGCTTGAGGCAGATCTGGCATATGACAGCACTAGTGGCCTTAGGTTTTTCCAATTTCCTTCATTTGTGTTTCGGTACGAGTTGTTGGAAGATTTTCGTCGAGAAACATTTGCGTGACTATCTCGTAGGAGCTGTGACCTCTTCCTCTTTGGGCGTCTAATGCTGCGTGACTATCAGGTTGAGTGGGTTTTGTTTGGTTTTCGGTGGAGATATTGATTTTTTCGCTGTGAAGGAGGGAATACAGGTCTTTAAGGCTTATAGGTAGAGGAGAAGTTCTGATGGCAGTTTTAAAAGCTTGGTAAGATGGAGGTAGACCCTTGAGAATGTAGAGCATGACATCTTCCCCTCTGCAGCTATATTGTCCAAGGCACTTTGATTTGTGTCAAATACTGTCATCGTTTGATTCCTAATTGACACATTATAAAGTTCATTTTTAAGTTGGATCATCTTTGATCTGTTAGTAGCTTGTAGTCGTTTCTCTAGTGCTTACCAAATTTCATAGCAGCTGTCCAGATTGATGACATAGGGTAGAATCATGGTGGAGATTGTAGACAAGATCGCTGCAGCTTTCTGGTCAATTAGAATCCAAGTAATGTAAGCTGGGTTCGAGGTTGATATTCCGGCTTCATCAGTGACGAAGGCTGTGTGAGGAGGTTGGTATTCCGGCTTCATCAGTGACGAAGCTGGATGTTTACAAGTGGATCTTTCGATGAATCCAACGAATCCATAGGCGTTAATTATCTTTGACATTTGGGACTTCCATATTGGATAATCATCTGTGGATAGAGAGGTATTGACGACAGACTGTATGTTTGAGACCAGAAATTTGAAAGATGAAGGCATGGACCATTCTTCGATCGACAGCTTTTACAGGTTTTCTATCTGTATGTTCTAAATAGCATTCCAACTTCGTCATCTTACTTTCCTGCTGTTTTATGGCATCAGAGCAATTGCATCACTGCACCGATGGTAGACTACAATACATCTATCCTGGGCGACAGTCTCGCGCCGGACCGAATATTTTTTCAGAGAATTTTCTCCACAGAAGAATTACTGTAGCTGGCCCGTATTTATTGGCTTTCCCAAAATTTATAGATGTAGGTGATTATGAGGGCATGAGAGTAAAAGGGCTTTGCTGGTCATGGAGGCAACTTTAATGCTGAGTGATGCTTATACATTATTACTATGAAGTTAATGACTTGATGCAGTAGGTTCACTTAACTCCATCCTAAGTATGACTATTCCAGAATCTTTTCTAAAAATAATTACGAAATTAGTAATTATTGATGGGGACTCGTAAATGGTCCCATTCCTATGATACCCTTGTAAAGACCTCCTTTCTCTCTTATGTGTAGATTCATGACTAAAACAGTCAGTGCTGTTTGTCAGCTTAAAAATTAATGCAGCTATAATCATGTTATCAAGACCATTAGTTAGCAGTTTTTCTACAGTCAGACATCTCTACTAATTTAGAGAAAGAAGTTTTGTTGGGTTGACAGAAAAAGGGCTACTTCACAAATATTGAATTTCATTAAAATCATTGGCTTTTCTCCCACTCTCATAATTTACCACTCAACAAAATAATGCTTTAAAATATGCCTCCTAATTAATAAAAGCTAGCAATGAAATACCACACAATAAAGAGACTATGGATATTTTATTTATTATTTTGATAAATGATTACTCATAAGTGTGTGTGTGAATGTGCATGAGAGAGAGGGGGAGTGTGAGTGATAGAGTGAGTGAATTGCTTATGTGAAATTTAGGCATAATAAAAATGTTAAGTATTTCTTGTAGGAATCATGATAGAAATATTGAGGATGAGTGTAGTGAAAGTGAAAGAATGTAAATTAATGTAATTGAACTAATGGTAGCGTGATACCCTTTTATTTTTTGGTATAATTAATGGGCAAATTCTAAGAATTGTTAATTTAATAGTTGAAGATATGGTTTTGATTATTTGGAGAGACAAGTGAGGTTTTAAGAAAGGTCTAATGGAAGAAATACAAAAAAATAGCTTAGCTTGGTATAGCTTGGGCTAATTGGGAAGATAATTTTGGAAATCGATATTAAGTTGTGTAAATGACTGGAACTTAGAAAGAAATCTACATGAAGATGTTAAATTATGATTGAAGTATTTGGTATGATGGCTAGGCTATAAAAAATATTTGTTCAAAAGATGACCAAGACTACTCCAAATCATGCTACTTTGGACAATATTTGGAGAACTTCATAAAGAAATTGTATTAAATGGTTTAAATGAGAGAAATTTAAGGTAATGAGATTTTTTTAGGATGTGAACTTTAGATTTAAAGTATTTGGTAGAGTTTAGTGGGGCATAAATCCTTGTAGTTTGTGTAGATAACTAGACTATGTAGCTTTCCAACTAGGCTTGGCTGCAAGTTGTAAGTAAGATTTTTTAATGGGTTTGATGGCTCGAGTTGTAGCAGTTTAGGATTATTTGTTACCTAAATGGTAGAGAGTTCTGTCAGAGTGGTTTTAATAGGATGTTAAGAGATTTAAAAAGTACTTACAAATCTAATAATATTCATACTAAAGCATGACCAAATTAGGCCACAAAGCAATAATACAAAAAGAAAGATACTCTCCTAAGTAATAGTTTATTCCAAAACTAAAAAATTATTTCTACTTAACATCCCATTATTTAGTTATTAAAATTATCATGATTAATAAAAATGAAAAAAAAAAATTAGAGGGGAAGGATGTAGTTGGCAAATAAGTAATGACGATGCATTCCACCATGCTTAATTCAATTTAAGTTCCAACACTTACAATACCTGGTGTTATTTTACATCATAAATGAAACATATTTATTCTTTTCTATTCAGATTTTAATATTTTTGACCTCTCTTTTTGGTAAAATTTTATTTTCGACTTTTATCCAATCATAACCTAGAATTCATTTCTCGTGTTACTAGATGACTGAACTGAACCTAGATCAGCCGAGAATTGAGCCCCACTTAAACTAAAATTTAACCAAGCTCTAATTCAAATCTAAAACTAAAATTTAAATAAACAAAAAATGAAATAAACTAAATTATAATAAGGATATAACAAACTTCAATCAAACCTTAAAATTGAATTAAAAGTAGCTTTAATTCATTGCATCCTAAATCTATCATTTTCTCTGCAGAAAATCGTAGATCTTGAATTTTCATTCTAAATGTTGTATGATATTCATTATTACATATGAGAAACATACAAACAGGTTTGGTGACGATCAGACATAGTTTTTGCATAAAATGTTTTTTGCTTTAGGATTTCATGCATGAAAAGTAGTCCTACATAAATTTTCTTCATCAGAGCATTACTTTTCAAAATGAAGCATGCGATGTGTATAGATCGTCAAAACCTTTCAAATTAACTCTTCTATTCTAAAATCAGACTTTGTTTGTGGGTCCATCAAAACTACGATAATTTGGAGGATAATAAGGATAATCATAATAATAATCATAACAATAATCATATTAATAATCAAAATGGCACTTTAAGTTGGACCTAAATAAGCATCAAAGTCAAATAAAAGTAATTTTTAGCAGAAAACCTTAAATTTAATCAATTAAAATTGATTTTATTTTCTCTCATTTGGTGGGCCCTTTAACTTCAAATTCATTGAGATAGAGACCAAGTTAACAAAATGTAGCATTGCCGCTGTGTTCACCTAATCTATATGAACCGAATGAGCCCATATTAATTTTTTTTCCGAACCCCCCATTACTATCCCATCTCTCTAATTTGAATGTCCCTCTTATTCCCACTTCTTTCTCTCCTTTTGACCAAAAATTATTCTTCCCATCTATTTTTAATTTCAATATTAAATAATTTAAAGCAAGTCCCTCATGCAATTTTCCCCTATCTCCTTCACTTGGGCCAGTTTTCTCTCTCTTTGTCTCTTGTTCACTCTCTTTATCTCCCTTAACAAACCATCTCATTCTTCTCCTCTTCTTTTTTTTCTTCTTCCTTCCATAGTTGAATCCCCCTCATCCTCTTCCCCTCTCTTCTCCAAGTTAATCAAAGGGACTTACACTTTATTCAACCAAAGGAATCAAAGGGCATATACTTCATTCAACCATGTTGTACTCCTCCTTTCTTTTTATTTCTTTTGTTCTTCAAGTAAATTAAAAAACATAGAATTTTTTGCAAGTGTGGCCACCTCTTTTTCCTCTTATTCTTCTTACCATGGCCAAGAAACACCCCTTTCTCTCTCCCAACCTCTTTTTTTCCCAACACAAAAACCCTAATCTTCTTCCCCTTTTTCTATTTTTTTCTAGACCAAAAGCCCTAATCTTCTCCGTTGTAATACTACTTTTTACCTAGTCTTAAACCTCAAGCTTCTCCCTCATTGGATGGCCTAATATCCTATTGATATACCTAAAATATATAGTATTTTTAGACACGTTTTTATACCTATTTTTGAGACATTACGCTTTAATGGAAGGTATTTTTGTGTTTTTCTTACAGATACAAGTAAATATGGAAAAAAATGCTTAAAGGAATGAAAAAGGATCAAATGTGGAGTAAAAAGGTGAAAAATTGTGCAAAAAAGTTTTGGCGCCTAAACACCAGATCTGGCGCTTAAGAGCAGGTTAAACAGAGAAAGTCACGCCTGAGCACCGAAACCCCGCGCTTAAGCGCCAGTGGCAGTTACTAGACAAGTAAAATCAATTTTCACGAATTTTGAAGAGGTTTTTGAGGCACCCATTAGCTTAATATGTGGTTGTAACCACCATGGACGAAAATTATCATGAAAGGATGTGTCTCTTGGGCAAATACATCGAATCAAGACACATTTTGAAGATATCCCAAGGTACCTCTTTGAAAACTATAAAAGAAAGAAGAGAGGACTTAGAAAAGAGTTCTAAAAATATTGGCAAGTTTTGAAAGTTCTTCTCTGGGGAGTTAGTTCGGAGAGATTTTTAGGATCCACTTTTTATTTACTTTATCCTTTTTATTATTTTATTTTGAGTGATTGTAAAAGAGAAGAGATTCAAAGAAACTTTAAAAGTTTGGTGGAGGACTTGAGTTAAGTTTTTATTTTTTTTGTTTTAGACTACTTTTGTTAATTGTGACTTGTTGTTGGTTTGACACTGATTTCTTCTTTTAAATTAAAGTGTGATTTTGCTTTCTCCATGGATTCTTAGTAGTTTTCCTTATCTTTCTTCTTAAAATGATAAGTAATTAAGTTTTGGACGGAGGTTGTGGAATGTATTGATCTTCAATGATGGATGAAGTTGTGATGATATAAATCCATGCACTTCAGTTACTTCTTGATTTGGCCAATCCAGATGTTAAAATTTTTTGTGAGAACATGTAAGAACCGGGCTGGTATTGTCTCAGTCAACATTTGGAAAGAATCACATGAGGTTGTATGAATGAGAATGTAGTTCATATGATTGAGTGCAAATAAATAAGGACATATTCATTGATGGGTGTAGAGTTAGAGAACTTTAAAGTGACAGGTTAAAGCCCATAACTTGGTTTATTATTTTAGGTTCTGATACAAGAATGTTAGTCCACAGGTAGAGGGAGTCGAGGGAACTCAAGAGTGAGAGCTAGTATCTTCCCTACCTATTTGTTCTTTAGAACTATTCAAACTTTAAATTAGCTAATGTTCTTTATATCATCTCTAGTAAGGGTAAAGAATTTTATTGCTTCTATGTGGCACAACACAATTTGCATATATTCACAATAGAATTCCTATACTTGTTATTGATTCATGATAAGAAGAAAGAGATTTTTATGTTAAGTACTTTTCTTCTACAAAAACTTTAGTTATATTTTTTCTGTTTCGTTAAAAAATAAAAAATACCAAAAATATTTAAATTTTAAAAATAGAAAAAATTTCATAATCTTTTTAAAAATTTCATAATTATCTTTTTAAAAATAGAAAAAATTTCTAAAAAGTACATATTGCATAATCTTCGTTGTGGGTTCGATATTCAGGTCTTAATCAAAAAGTCATATATTATTCGATAACGATACGTATACTTGCGTAGTATCCCAATATAAATATATAAAAATTAAAAAGTTAAATTCTTATTTTTCCTCAGAATTAAGTTTTTGGTTTTGTTGCAAGATAAGTAAATATAAGTAAAAAAAACCATCAGAACTATTGTTATACTGTGCATAAGCATTGAGTCGGGATCAAATTTTTGGCGCCGTTGCTGGGGAAAAAAACTAAGTAAATTTCTATTTTTAGAAAGTCTTATTTAAACTTCAAATATTGTATCTTATTTTGTATGTTTTATTTTATTTTATTTTATGTTAGTGTTTGCGTAGTTCAGGTTCTGAAGGTCTAG